TATATTATCTACTGTAAACTTTTGAATATATTATTTAAAACAAATTTTAGTATAAATTAAAAGTTTGGCATTGAAAGGGGAAGAAAATATATGAGTAAAAAGTTTGTTTGTTAGTTTGTTTATATTTTTCTTTACAAATATTTTAAGTGTTTTAATAATATTTTCAACAATTTGATTAGTATGTATAAACAGTTAAAACTTCAAGTATGAAAATAGTTTAATAAATTTCACTTAAATCTATATGAGTAGTTGTTAGTTAGCTAGAAGAAGTTGTAGTTTTATTAAATTGTATATTAAATTTTGATTATTTCTTTTAATTAATATAAATTTGGTTTTAACATTTTAATTTTAATTATAAATTTTTTGTAATTTTAACACACATATAATTATTAATATAATTAGTTTAGTTAATATAAGCGTAATCATTTATTTTACTTATTGTTTAAAGACACGCAACGCTTTAATTGTTCAGAAACACAATGCGGGCGTTTTGGGGAGCGGTTTAAATAAATTCGATTTACGATTTCGATCATTATGAAAAGTGATACATCCGAACAAGTTTTAATGTAACAATGATAACGCCTGACGCCAGCATTGTGTTTGTGAACATAGGTCGGAGTTATACTCGTTTAAAAAACGGTTTATTAATCAGAACTTAGGATATTTCTAAATAAATATTGATTCTTCTTAATGACGTAAATCATCTAACAGATCGGAAAGAACTTAACTTAAAATTTTGTAAGAATATTATTAATTGAATATTAGTTAGACTCGAGTTCGAGTCCCACTTGGGGATTAAATTTTTTCTTTTAAACCCCAAGTGGTACTCGAACTCGTGCCTGACTAATATTTAATTAATAATATTAATACCTTTGTAAGAATTTTTTAAATTATTATTTTATTTTCAACACAAATTCTTTCTTTTAAAGTTCTGCTTTTAATTATTTTCCAATAATAGTCTTAATTAAAAGATTTATTATGCAAATGCCAAAAGTCTAAAGGATTAATTAACCATCCTTTTATGAATATTGTTGATAATTTAATATCAATAAATACATTAACATTATTATAAAGTTAATTATTACAAAACATTCTTATTAAGTTAATACTATTAAATTAAATTAGATTTATATATGTTTTTTTTTATTTTTTTTGACAAAAAAAAAAAAAAAATAATAATAATTACTATTTTGTAAAATACAGTCAACATTTAACAGTCATTTCGATATGATTTATTTACTATTTATTTGGAAGAGACTTTAAGAATTAATAATTAGTTTTATACTCTATATAAATGGAAATATTCTTCTTCTTGTTTGTTTCTAGAAATTTTTAATCCTTTTATTAGAAGCAACAACAGCTTAAGTATCAATTTCTTATACAATTTCTAAATTCTAATAGAAAATTGACATTTATAAATATTTTATCTAAAAAAAAACATAATGCGTTAATTAAATATTCTAGTTTTTAAGTTTTTTTTTCTTATTTTATATATTTAGGTATTTATGTTTGTTTGTATATATATTTTTAAATATCAGGGAAAAATCACAAACTTAATAAAAGTATAAACAAAAACTATAAAAATGGGTTTGTCACGTAATACTGTTTTGAAAAGTTTGCATTAGGGTGGTATTATTTTTAGCTTAAGATTTACTTATCGGAATTCCAAAGAATGCGGGTCGAAATATTGTGACTCTTGATATGTTTGTAAATTAAGTTAATTTAGTTCAGTTAACAAACTCTTGAGGGCTCTACTCGAGAATTGTTTTTAACCTAAAGGAAAATAATTCAAATTATTTGTGTTGAAGGCCCGAAGAGCCTCTGATCACAGCCTTATGATAGTGCTGAATGTTAACCCGCAAAGATTGATATTTGACTTTTCACAAGAATGACGATAAGTCCTGAACACTTATAGTTTCTTGGGCATGAAGAAACCGGTGACCCACAGACTTGGCCTTAAATTTAAATAGGATCAACATAGCATATCGGTTCTAAGCGCTATGTACCAGAACCATAGGTACATGGACTTCATTAAAGCGTGATTAGATCAATTCGAACTTATGCTCTAATAATACAGGCCGAACAATTTTTAACCCAGAGACCAAAGTATACTTTTCTAAAGGATTGATCTGCCTTGATGTCGAATTTGCCCTCAGTTGTTAACGGACGGACAGACATCGTTAAATCGAATCAGAAAGTGATTATGAGTCAATTGGAACATTTTCAGGTAGATCTAATATTTCTGTTTGTTAACAACATAAACAATATTTAAAAAGCATAATACCCTACGCAATGTAGTAGTGTAGGGTATAAATAACATGGATATTTGTTTTGAAAGTTTAAGGTGAAGATATTTCAAAGAAGAATGAAGAAATGTCCGATGTTATGATGGACAAAATTGTAATTTTAAACTACTACGGTGAGTTTTGCTTACATGTTGCTCATTATTAAGTAGGTACAGTAGCGCTTACCTGGGTGTAAGTGGGGCCTATAGCACTACTTCCACCGAAACATATGAGACAACTTCCACCAAGGCTCTGGAAACATTCTTGGATAATTATCAAAATTGAAACATACATGTGATATGAGTCAGCATCTATAGATGAAGGGAAGAGAGGTTACAGGTACGCCATCAATATGTACTAGAAACAATGGAACGATATACACAAATATCGGAAATGATCGAGCGCATACCTGACACAGAATTTGTAGGGAACTTTAGTGCACTGATATCAAATAAAATAACATGTTTAAGCTACACGAATTGCTCTAAACTGTAAGTCAAAACGGAGCAGCAATTCTACATTGAAAACCCTGAAATTGAATTATACATTCGTCCACCTAAACGAAGTACTAACGGAATGTGTTAATTGGATTCAAATAAATATGGCTCCAATAAGGTTTTACATATTGCCAGAATTCAAAAGGATGTTAAAATTAGATCTAAGGCATCATCAACATTGGAATATACACAAATATCGGAAATGACCGAGCTCATACCAGACCCGGATTTTGTCGGCAACTTTAAGACACTGATCCAAACGGAATATTCAGGTCAAGCTGAACATTCGATCAAATATTCATTAGAATCCATTGTTAAACGAATGACTCTAAACTGCGAGACAAAACGGTCCTGGGGTTCTATATTGAAAACCCTGATATATACCCAGAAACATTAGATCATATCGCACACATAGTACAAAAGTGACACAACTCAAAATTTTATTTTTGCGTTTTTATATTCTTTAAGCCTTAAGTCTAAACCTTAAACTATACACAAGATACTTGTTTAACTCTACAAAAATATTAGTGTATTTTGTTGTTGTTAACTGTTCAAGAAAAAACGTTATGTCTTTCTTTATCTTTCAGAATTTGTAAAAAATTTGTTTCCTTTTCTTTAAAAAATTTTTTTGAGTTGTGTCACTTTTGTACTGGGTGTGCGATATACTTATAAGAATTTCTTGCTACACGGATGGCTCTAAACTGGGACTCAAAACGATCCTGGAATTCTACATTGAAAACCCTAAAACAGAAGTATATGTTCGCAATACTAGCATTCAGACGAATGTGTTAATTGGATTCGATTAAATATGGCTCCAATAGGGGTTTACATATTGCAAGAAGGCAATAAGTTGTTAAGATTAGATCTAAGACCATATTGCATTTTCTGAGTGGACACATTAGGAGGATTTCGAGCATAATGATTGACGAATGTAGAGTATGTGATGAGAACAGTATAACTCTGGAACACTCCCCTTGTCATTGTCAGGCTTTTTTCGAAATTACTTCCAAATATATTGGAATACTGATTAGAAATCTTTAAGGAACTACAACTAGGAAAATGAACGCTATATAGGGTTACACCGGCATTTTTATGTAAAGGAACGCACAACTGGCCTATATGCATTTGACATCCACCTGAACCTTACCTAACGATAATGATTGGACAAAATTTCAGTTCAGATACTAAGAATACAACTAGAAGAAAGATGTCAAACTTTGTCGTTTGGAATTTGAGTCTTTTGGTAGAAAATCAAGTATACTTTTCTAATGGAATGAGCTGCTCTAAATCTGATTCTTATATCAAAACTTTAGGTTAAGAATCTCGAAGAAAGAAGATATTAGAGGTTAAATCTTTATTTGAAAGTCGACAGCTTAAAGCCTCAGATGACATAACATAACAATATATAATAAATTTTACTTTGTCTCAAATATGGCCAAAATTGAGGGTTTTCAAAATGTATAAGACAATTTCTCGAAAACCTGATGTGATGCTTATTCGGTTTCAGCACCATAATTTTTTGAACTCTGAGGTGTGATCTTTTTTGATAGTTTATTAGCCTGTTTTTGGTTACCCTGATTATTAAAAATCTTATTTTCAGTGTTTTAGTTTTATATCAAATGCCACGAAAATTTGACCCGCTTTCAATGAAATTCTTAAAAAACTAATTTTGAAAGATTAAGATAAAAGATAAAAATCGATGTCGAAAATCATTCCGTTTCAACAAATTTTAAAATTAATTGGCCTAAACTTATATCAAAAGAAATAGAACACTATGATTAATGAAATTTTGTATAAAATAGAAATAGCGAGAAAAGGATTAGAAATGGGGAAGAACTAAATGGCATATGATTGTCTTAAATACCTCTTTCAGTTTAATTGATTCTTTAACAATTAACATCAGAAACATACATAGTTATATTAAGAATATAATCATAAACTGTAAAATTTGTTTTCAGATTATCCCATCTTCGATATGTTATAGTTTGATTTTGTAAAGGAATTATTGAAATTATTCAAATATTTAACTTGTTCTTTATATTTGTTGCTTTTTCGTATTATATTTTTTTACGTATGTATTTTAAGTAAATCACACCCGATTTTGTACTCGTACCTCAAATATTTATAAAACTTTTTTTCTTTGACCTGATACTTAATTTTTTTTCTTCTTCTTAAAATATTTTATTTTCTGTTTAACAAATATTTAGTAAAAAAACACTTACAAAACATGAAGATTTTCACAGCTCTTGGATTTCGAAATGTCACTAAGGCAAATTTTGTGAAGAATTTCTTTTGCCATTTGCAAAGATATATGGGTACGGGAAGTTTTCATTTTCGAAGAGGCCTTCTTTTCACGTGATTCTTTGAGACGCATCTGAAAGAGAGAAGAAAAATTATTTAAATCAAATGATTCAAACAATCTATCAATAGGTATTAAAAGATCTATCAACAAGTTAGCTATTTCTCGAATATTGAGAAGTATTAGAACGATTAATAAGAAACTCAATAGAAAACTAGGAACTAGAAAATTATTCTGTGAGTGGGAGGATCGAGGAATAAAGTGCTTTACCTCCCGCATGAGCCTAACCCACAACCACTGGGCGAGCTATTCACTAACACCCCTTTCAGATTCCAAAGCACTCCATTAATTTAACAATACTTATATCCATACAACAGGTGACATACTGCGATAGGTCGGTTATAAACTGAATAAACCGCGAATATACAAAGGAGAGGCAATTTATCGCAATTAAGCAATTAAGAACTCCATTAAAACTACCAGTACATCGTGAATTAATTCCCATTTTAAATCTTTTATCTAACATCATTTACTCCAGCATTCATCGCAAGCACATTACCTTCTGTGATGTTATCTGTTTATAAGGCAACAGTACCGGTAACTTATTCCGAAATAATAATTTCTCCATGCATTAGTCTATTAACCAACATTCTCTTCCAGCGGTTTGGATTTCAAATGGACCTCACCAATATCCAGTACAGGACAAATTCTGCTTTCAATAGGTTCCCGTGAAGAAAAAACTATATTCAAAACGAAAAACATAAAATGTACGCACACTACGGATGGCATCCAAGTTAGCTCAGCTAAGTAACGTATTCTGCAAACATACACTCCTTCTCCTCAGTATAGTCAACCCAGATGTCCTGATTCTGAGGAATTCTCTCGGGAAACAGCCAGACTAGACATAAGAGGCGAACACGCGCGAGAAATGGTCATCCAATGTTTTGCCCCAACCGATGAAGTGGAGCACGATCAGAAAAAAAGGCGATATTATCATACTTATCGGCGACATCAATGCACAACTGGGTGACAATAATACTGGCATAAAGTCGATAATGAGCCATGACGAAATTGGATCCATGAGCGAGAATAGCGAACTCCTACCGAGCTTTTGCCTTAATCACAGTCTTGTCATCGGGACACGCTCTTCCCCCATAAGCGGGTTTATGGGCCATGAGTGTCACCCGATCGCGCAAATTTAGCATAAAAATGGCGCGGGTCTCGACTGGATAAAGGAAACAAACTCGGTGCAGATATGTATATCTAGTGATCATCATCTATTTGTAGCTTCCATATGGCTTAAAGCTACCTTACGGTCATAAAGAATGATAGAAACATCAGAAGACTAGAAGACCCTGCCATCAGAAGCCGTTATACCAACTCCATCAGGGATTCCTACCAAGAATAGGACAGTGAAAGTGAAAATAGCTGCAGAGGAACACAAAGGTTGCAGAACAACTGATAGATGATTGACGGAGAATACCTGAAATCTTATAAACCAGTGTACAGAGAATAAAAACGAAGTAAACTATGTTAAAACCAGGACAGCTAAAGCTCTAGCCATGCAAGAATACGCCAACCAAGACAAGATGGCAAATAAAAGAAGGCAAGGGCGGATTAAAGGCTATGGAGTTAACAAATTGCTAAAGCACATGAAGCAGCAAATATCCATCGAAACCGAAAATGTTTCCGATCACCGAGTCAATTAACAAACTCCACATTCTCTACCACCAAACCTTTGATGTCAACGGTGAAATGACTACCTCGCAAGAGAAGCAAATTAGGATATGGGAGGAATATTATACAAAACTTCATTCTGCACTCCTTTAAATATCAACAGCGATCATATGCCTTTGTCTCCAACAACAATTTATTACCGCATATTCGAGTATCATGGAAGTCCTACAATCCACTTGGTCCTGACAACATACCTCTAGAGTTATTGAAAGCTGAATTGAAAGCAGCTGAACCACTGCATCGACTCCTATCAGATTTCTGGGTTAGCAAAACTACACCATCTAAACTCACGGAGGGAATTATAACCCAGCATCTATCGGACCATGTGTCACCTAGTCTGAGCAACGAGTAAGCCTGTTTAAGAGCACACTCCTGCTTCGATCATGTCAACTCATTGCGCGTATTGTTGGAGCAATCCATCGAATGGCGCACACCGCTATAACTGTGTTTTATTGATTTTGAAAAGCATTCGACACTATGAACCATATTGTGATCAATGACAATCACTGTAATGGCGTCCCTGAAAAGATAAGCGACCTCATTAAAAGCTTGTACAACAGCGCAACTTGCCGAATACAACATGAAGCGCAACTTAGTGGTCAAATTCCAGTGAAGGAGAGAGTATGCCAAGGATGTATCCTATAGCTATTACTTTTTCACATCGAACTCGTACTTGGTCTAAGTTCATATGTTGCTGTCATGGTCTTAAATAGAAGGTCGTTTATCATCTCATCTATAACATTGGTATAGTGCCGATTTTCAGTTTTTCTATAAAATATACACCCTAATGTGCAATTTTAAAAAAATTTCACTCCACAATAAATCAATGAAAAACAAATAATTTAAATCTTAAATATAGAAATACAAAAAAATATATATTTACGTGCCTGTTTCAAAGTGCCAACAAGTAATTCATCTACATTATGTTGAATGCCACTGGACGTTTCTATGAATTTAGCATCGCGTGAGGCCGCCAATGATTTTCCCTCTATAATTAAATTACAAACACACAAACAAATACATATTTTAATAAAAACACGAAATTAATAATGTAATAGAAGTAATATTTAATAGAGAAATTAATTTATTAAACGAAAACCAAATATAAATAACTTATTAAATAAGAATTATGGTAAGAAAATAAAAAAGAAAAGCAAAAGAAAATATAGTATACAAATAAACAAATTGAGATTTAAGGTTAAGAATATAATATTTTCTTAATTACCCTGGGACGTTATAACTCTGGAGCGAGCTAAATCCGCTTTGTTGCCGACTAGAATTACAGCTTTATCTTTAGTATAATTTTCCTGCCACAAATAATTTATTATTTCCTCTGCCACGCGAAATGAAGCCTTATCTACAATGGAGAAAACTATAACACATCCATGGGGTTCATATGTTGACAATGAATTCTCAACCTTTTAGTTTATTAAAGCAAACAAGAAAGAGGGAAAAATAGAATAATAAAGAGATATAAAAAGTATATTAAATTTCATATAAAAAACAATAATTACAAGAATTTTGTTTTTATTATCAATACAACTTACACTCATTTCCACACTGGGATGATCAATAAACACCAATTCCGATTCTTCATCATCCAACAATATGCTAACCGTCTTCTCCCCAAATTCATCATCTAAAACTCAAATTTGTATTATTAACTAAAAAACACCAAGTTGTTTTTAAAGAATAAAAGCCAACAAGCTATAGTTTTGATACACATACAAACAGAATTACACATAATAAGGGTTTGGATATGGAGGGATCTAGGATTGGACGAACAATGACTGTTTGTCAACAAAGGGGGCCTTTAACTTACTGTGCTGTGCTTTAATAAATGGTGGCCTTATATATATAAAAACTAAGTATCTAATAGCTGTATGTTCATAAAATAATGACTTAAATTATGGGGGGATTTTAGACAACTTACCTAGACTGGCATCGTAGGTATGCATATATTCCGATGTCATAAATTGATTGACTAGAGCCGTTTTTCCAACACCTGCATCGCCCAACATAACAACACGATATCGTGGTGGTGGCGGAGGTTCATAATTTTCTGAGTCATCATCTTCTTCTGGAGATGCGGGTACCGAGTCGACATTAGCATAACCACCGCCACAGCAAGAACCCTCAAAGGGAGATCTTTCACTAGCACTGTTGGTAAATATGACCAATAAATACATATATTAGGTAATAAAGATAAATGGTTCCTAACCTAAATATAATATATTGCATATTAGTTAGAATCGGGGACGTGATAATACAATTGTTCTAAACTTTTTTTTAGATATCCCTAACTCGAGGCGTGTTATGTCGAAACTTACATATTTTGCTAACTTCTGAGAACACAAAACGAAGTTTTACTGCACAATATATTTATGACTGTATTCCGGGAGAGTTCTTTTATGAGAACCAAGTAAATCGTGAATCGATGTTGATTATCAGTCCCAGTCAACAGATAATATTCGCGTTAAATTTCAGTCATGGGGGCTTTGTCGTACCTTCAATAGACAGAAACCCCTCCAGATCGTGTTAGATCTTCATGCCTTCAATAGACAGAAAGACGGACCAGAGTGCTAGATCGTCCTAGAATATAACTATTTCATACATTTATGGGTCTATGGTCAATATTTCGATGTGTTATAAACGAAATGATACTCCCCATATTTTTTGAAGGTGGATATAAAAATATCAATTATAAGAATTTAAAAATATAAAAATTGGATCTAACGAATGACTTTTCAACAGATTGGAGTTAAATTTTCAGAGTTAAACTACCGACATGCATATATCATAATCATATCGAAGCTTATTACCAGTATTTATGTCCATTTATTAATTTTGTTTATATATTTACCGGCTATTTGTAGAATTAACACTTGTATTACTGCGTGAACGTCTGGATATAATCGAATCGCCACAATTTACCACATTTCCTTTGCTTATCGAAAAATGACGCAAACGATATAAATCATCACTAACTCGAGGATTATAGGGACGGTCTGGTAGGGAACAAACACGTGGTCTAAAATGATCGGGTACTAAAAAGACAACATAAACAATATTAATAAATTCCCTTCTACAGTTAAGAACTTTTATTGCCCACCTGGTAGTTCTAGAAAATTTGAAGTTCTACGTTGACGACCACGATTCGATGCCTGAAATGCCAAAGGGCCAATATCATCATTCGACACCAACGAAGCATTTGAGCAGGCGCTTTTCATAGATTCACGTGAACTACGACGACTGGCTAAATAGGCTAAACCTCCCTTTGAGCTGCCACGTCGTCGTGGTTTATAGCTACCGGCTGTGGGTGTTGTAGCTTCGCCAACATGTTTGTGTTTATTTCTATCGTTTTCAGAATCTTGAGTTAAATCACTAGTGGATTTTCGGTAACGTAAAGATACCACACTATCCGAACAAGTACGATCCAAAGTAGAGTGTGAGCTATGTAGAACCTATTTTAAAATGTTAAGTCAATTGCTATAGATTTATGTGGGATGGTCTTTATAAAGTATTTATACCTGATAACCGGGATTTGAAGTTATATTTATGGCATGTCTACGTTTGCGTGCGGCTGCACTAGGCTCTACTAGGGGACTCAAGTCTTGTGCCTGATCCGATGACGTTTGTCTTGTGGAGGTATCAGAGTAACTAAAAGATGTGGTTGTTGTAGCTAAAGTACTCGTTTCTGACTCAACAGACAGTTGCGTACACTCGGTAACACATGAATCTCGTTTCATGTAATAATTGTTAACACCTAAGCCTTGATAGTCAGTACCCGCATTTGATGACACCGTCATTTCCCATTCATCACTGCGTTTACACGATTGATTTGTACTGCTAAATCTGGTTAATTGATCCACGGGCGTTGAACGTATCATTTTCTTGGAACTCTGTCTTCTATGTTCATACAATTTGGGCGATAGGGGCGGTGGTTGCGATTGTGTTTCATAGCCATTTTCAGCATCATCACCTTCATCGTCCGGTGAAACTGGTTCATAGTATTCAAATTTTCGACTAGGAGAATCCATTACTGGACTAATGGCTTCAAAAACAAAACTACGAGCTGCATGAGGACTACGGCGTGGTGACACGGGAGTCTGACTGCCACTATACAGCAGACAAGATGGTGAATCCATAGAGTTTTCTTTCGAAAATACTCCCTTAGGACTGCGGGCTCCAGAAGTAGGCGTATGATAATAGGAAACCGACGACTGTCCACCATCATCACTACAGTCATTGGCAAAAGTGGTTGTTATCTTGGGACTACGTGGAGGATTATCGCGACTACTTGAACGACTACTTCCCAGCGAAGATGAGGAAGCAGCATCCGAATAACTACTTTGGCAACTATAATTACTACGTACTGATGGGCTGCGTTGTGGCAGCGATGATGTCTTAACACCTGACTCATATGGATTACCACCAATTTGTACTTGAAAGTTTCTAGAAAATACAATTTCGGATAAAAAGTATATACAGGGATTATAGAAATTTATAACCTATAAAAGATGTGACATCTTAAAATAATGTATGAGTGGTAGTTTATAGTTAGAATGTACATTAAAATACAGGTGTTAAGTGTGAGTAATGTCGGTACTATTAGTATAAAAACATGTTTAATGACACACATAAATTGAAATATGTACTATTAAGCAGGGAAGGTATTCCAAGGGATGTTTATTGTTTCCAGAAAAAAATATAGCTATTTTTTAAAATATTCTCTAAGATCCCTTATTCTTCAGATTGGGTTAGGTCTAAACTATTAAACGTTAAATCTCGGATAGCAGCAAAGTAGACGAAATTATGAAGTTTTAAAATCTTAGATAATATCCGATCTGATGTTGTTTCTAAAATCATCTGATCAAATGATGAGCTGATTAGTATTAAAGACCTTGATATTATAGCATCATTTGGTTTTCAATGTCTCATGATTGGCCATATGTCGATGATGTATACAAGAAGTATTCAGTTTCCAGACCGAAAAGCGACGTTGGATACTCCGATATTACACTTATAGGGTGAGGTCCAAGTGAATGTCCATGGACTTATCAATTTAATGTTTTTAGACAGACAACAAGAAGTATTAAGTTGGGTTCGGATATGAACCGAACAAGATACGAAATTATATAGCCAGGCCAATCTTTGGCTAAACACCAAGCATTGAAACCAGGGGGTTAGTTAAACGATTCTAAATTTAACATTCCATAACACTTTCCTTGGAATACCTTCTCCTTATATGTATGTACAAATAGCCATTTTGTCAAATTTATAACATTTATTTAAGATTTTCAGTCACGTTTCGACAATATCAAGTGTCCAGGGACATTGGCAATAATTACATACCTGGGTGGTTTGGGACATTTGTACGGTAGTGGTGATGATGATGCACGAATTGGAACCTTAACTGATGTTTGATTTTGACCATGCAACGGTTTGCTGCCGTTAGTACCCTCGTCCCAGCTATAATGATGTTGCTCCATTTTGGGAATATAACGAGGACTCGATGGTGGGTGTCTAGGGCTGGACATGTTTCGCTTTAACAAATTATACTTTAATTTATTATTTTAACAAAAGTCTACAATTTCACTTCATGTTGTTAAATTTTTAGGTTTATTTTTAAAGTTGATTTTTGCTGTTTAGTCTATAGAACGCATGTCGTAGTTTGTGGGGCTCTAAAACACAGTTAAAATATTGTTAATAAACATACATACTTATAAAATATATGTATATAAAACGCGCCAATGAACATACATAAGTATATTTTAACACACAATACGTGGGCTTCTAACCAAAATTTGCCTGTATGTGTACATTGTATTTAAATAGTTAAAACGGAATAAAATGCTAAAGTTGTCAAAACAAAATTTATGTTGCTGCCTTGTTTCCACTTATGTACATATGTATTTGTTCGTATGTATTTATTTTATATATGTTTTGTTTCAAACCGAAAAACCTTTTGCAAATACTAGGGTATAATAAAATTAGAGCCTGTCGTGTCCGCGGGCAAAAACTGTTGCTTTCGATCTTTTATTTATTTGCTCAGGTTACAATGAATTTGCACGTAAACACACCAGCTTTTATATATGTATGTATATGAATGTATGTTTGTGTAGGTATGTGTTTATTTTGGTAAAAGTGTGTGCTTTTGTATCTTAAAATTTCCCTGCAGTTCGTGGTGTCTGACTTTAACTATTGGTTAAACAAAGATTCAAACCAATAGTCGATATTTAGAAAATATACTGTCTAAAAGAGACACATTGACTCCCTAAAACACTTATGTAATGTGTACCTCACATTCAAATATGTATGTACATTATAACAAATTCGTTTTAGTGTCTGTCTGCATTAACGTGTGTAAGTTGGAGGGTCGTTCAACAAATGTTGATAGTAATTTTGAAATAATGTACTCGCGTTTTACACCTAAGGGAGATTTTTGGCAAATAATACTACAAAAACATATTAAATTTATATAGGCCAACATACTTTAAAAAAATTCGAAACCCAGAGATCTAAGTATACTTTTATAAAGCATTGAACTGCGCTGAATCAAAATTTCTGAAAATCAATCTGAACAAATTTGTAGTTTCTAACATTATGATAAATTCGATATCAATCATTTGAAATTTCATATGTATTTTGCTCTCTTTTGAAATTTTATTCAAATCTAAAATATGTACATATATCTCAAGAATTTAGATATTATACACCTACAATTTTTTAACCAAGAGACCGAAGTATCTTTTCGAAATGATATACATATCTGCGAAGTTTCGTTAATGCTGTCGCTTATTCGTAGATCATGTTCGATACTGCTTCCAGGTAAATGTCGTTTTACGAAAGTGTTTCATTGATTTTTCATCACAACCATTAATTGGGAATGTAAGCAATATTGCCCGATTTTGACCGAAGGTAATGGGTTCGATTCCTATGTGAGTCACTAGTAAAGGCACGCACAACATGCCCGATCTATCTATCTATCTCATGATCAGACTATCACGATCCTATCTATCTATCTATCGATCTATCTACATCTAGCTATCTATCACGAGCTAGCAGGCTACTATCTATCATCGATCTAAGCATCAGATCTATCTACTATCAGGATCGCTAACTACATTAAACACTATCTATCTTCTAGCTACTATCTATCATCATCTACTATAGCTAGGCGAGCATCTATCTATCTATCTATCTATCATCGAGATTAGCGAGCGAGCGACAGCGAATTCGACGACGAGCTAGCGAGGACGAAGCTATCACTAGCAGCGAGCGAGCGAGCGATCGAGCAGGAGGAGCGAGCGAGCGAGCGAGCGGAGCGACGAGGCGAGCAGCGAGCTATCTATCTATCTATCTATCTATCTATCTATCTATCTATCTATCTATCTATCTATCTATCTATCTATCTATCTATCTATCTATCTATCTATCTATCTATCTATCTATCTATCTATCTATCTATCTATCTATCTATCTATCTATCTATCTAGTCTATCTATCTATCATATCTATCTATCTATCTATCTATTATCTATCTATCTAGCTATCTATCTATCTATCTATCTATCTATCTATCTATCTATCTATCTATCTAATCTATCTATCTATCTATCTATCTATCTATCTCTATCTATCTATCTATCTATCTATCTATCTATCTATCTATCGATCTATCTATCTATCTATCTATTCTATCTATCTATCTATCTATCTATCTATCTATCTATCTATCTATCTATCTATCTATCTATCTATCTATCTATCTATATATCTATCTATCTATCTATCTATCTATCTATCTATCTATCTATCTATCTATCTATCTATCTATCTATCTATCTATCTATCTATCTATCTATCTATCTATCTATCTTATCTATCTATCTAGCTATCTATCTAATCTTATCTTAGCTATCTATCATATCTAATCTATCTATCTATTCTATCTATCTATCTATCTATCTATCCTATCTATCTATCTATCTAGTATCTATCTATCTATCGATCTATCTATCTAATCTATCTAATCTATCTATCTATCTATCTATCTATCTATCTATCTATCTATCTATCTATCTATCTATCTATCTATCTATCTATCTTATCTATCTATCTATCTATCTATCTATCTAATCTATCTATCTATCTATCTATCTATATCTATCTATCTATCTATCTACCTAACTAACGACCGAATGTTTTTCTTGAAACTCTTCCCCTTGAAAATTCCAAAATATTCCCTTGAAAATTCCCCCAGGGGTTGATCGTTTGAAGAGAATTGGTTTTGCTAAGTAGCACAACATCATCAGTATATGAAATCTTGGTACTCATATTACTGAAGCTGCTCTTCAGCACTTTTTCTCATACGTTTATTTAATCTTTGGTAAATTTCTAAGCCACATAAAGCCTACAAATTAATCATTTTATGGTATTTTCTATTAAGTGTTTCCTCAATGAGCGTGATTAAAATGTGATTTAAAATGTCTATAAGTATAGGAATTTTACACATTTGCAAAAAGTCGAAAATTCAAAAAACTAACTTTTTCTGCAACTATAGAACACTAATTGAGAGCCTTATTGTAAATAATCTACTATAATTGAAAATTAGTAAAAATTGCCAATACTATTTGCCTTCACATTTTCCCAAACGACCTTTGTATTAAATTTTGAAACCCTGAAACATGCGAAAATGTCTGAATGTTTTGTGTAAATTGTACATAGTATCTTTTTATCTTTTTTCCTCTTCCACATAAAAGTGTGTGCATGTGATTCTGAATGTAAACTCCATTAAATTGAAGGTGGTTCGAATTATTCTTTGAAAGAAAAGACTCCAATATGGAATACACATTAGCATGTACGTCGTACATACATACTTACATACATATGTATGTATGTATGTATGTATTTGTATATAAGAAAGTCATGTTTGTGTATTCAAAAATCAATTTACTTGGTATAAAATTGGATAATTTAATCCTTGGATTTCTTAACTACAACTACCTGACCTTAATATTAAAAGAAGAACACACAAAACATTAAATATCAAAAGTGTTAAGGTGTTGAATATGTTTTATTAAAATTTAAAATATTTAAATTTAATGAAGTGGAATGTAGAGTATCCCAGCAAACATTGTCATTACTATATAAGGGATTAAAATGTTAGAATTTAATTACACAATAACATTTTATGTTATATGTAACATATGTAGTATTCATACAAAAGTATATGTATGAGAAAGTTTTTGCTGGGATCATATGTATACTTATTCGAACATTTCGAAACTTAAATTGATATTTGTATATTTTATGAATTCTTATGTATTTATCTTTTCCTGTATCAAAGTAATTTCATATTTATATAAAACAAGTGCTAATAATTACAAACATACATATGTACATATCTACATACAAATACAAATATATATTTACTTTAGTATATACCCAGTAAAAACTTTCATTACCATGTAAGGGGTTAAAATGCTAAAATTTACTTACACAATAGCATTTTAAGTCATTATTTTAACACGGTGATGTCATTAGAGGCAAGTACTTATCACAAACGATTACAAGTAATTACAAAAAGTAGTCATTGTAAATCACATAAAAATCGTATACAGCTTCTATATCTTCACTGCCAAGATGACTAATGAATTATAAAGTATTTATTAGTAAGACCTTATTAGACTACTATGTAATCCAGACGATATGTAGTAGTCATTGAAAAGTATGTTGTTAGGTAAGTAATTACAATTGAAAGCCATTACCCAGTTTTTGCTGGGTATATATGTACATATAAGTGGTTTAATATTTTGTTAAATTGAATAAATATATACCCAGCTATCATTTGGAAGATTGTTGGATGATTAATCAGTAAACTGGGTCATTTTTGACTTCTTTTAATGACCTAACAGTAATTAATAAGTTGAGCCCTTAAAATATGATTCGAAAATGATCCCGATATATGATGGAAAACTGTTTATTTGAAAAACAATAACAAAATATATAGCAATCATAAATTGATCATCATGGTGTTTAAAATATGATAGTTTTAAAAAACTTACTTTGTGATAATATTTCGAGCAGTCGAGCAGTTGCTTGTAATGGAACAGCAACACTTACACTTAAAAATGACTCAAAAATGAGTCGATATTGATTAGAAAAGGGGCTCAGAAAAGACTCTTTTAGAAGAGTTGGCAAACATTTTGGTGTGGCCTAAAATGAGTTGATATACTTTTCATTTCGTTTATAAAATTAAATGTATAAGCATTTCCAATTTCACCAGTGACAGACAAAGTTAAGTACTTAGGTGTAATTCTCGACCGGAAATTAAAATGGAGACACCACATAGTCCTACTATGACAAATTGGCTTTATAAAAGTGTAATTAGACCAATTCTAGCTTATGCTTCAATAATCTGGTGGACTGCTTTAGACAAAAAGTGCAATATCAAACTACTACAGGGAGTTCAGCGTACATGCTGCTTGGGTATAAGTGGTGCCATGTGTACTACTTCAACCAAGGCTCTGGAAAC